GTACTCTCAAGAGTCTTCTCCAACACCAAAGTTCAAAGGCATCAACACTCTTCCCATCCTGCTTCTTTAAAGTCCAACTTTTGCTTCCATAGAGTGTCACAGGGACTACCATGGCTTGCAGAATTCTGTTCTTTGTAGGTAGACGCATCATGGCATTTGAATACGTTTTCCAAGGCCTTCATGGCTGCTCTGTTGAGTGCTGATCTGTAGCATATTTCTTGACTGCTTGTTCCTTTACTATTGATGGTTGATCCTAAAAGGCAAAAGCTCTCCACCACTTCAATGTCTTCATTATCAATTCCGGTTGCTGTACCTGTTGTCATTAGTTTGGTTTTCTTCATATTTAATTAGTTCCATTTTTCACTGTGCTTGACTTTCATTACTAGAGCTTGCAGATCATTTGCATTTTCAACTATCAGAGTAGTGTCCTCAGCATACTGCAGGTTATTGATGTTTCTTCCTCCAGTTTTAAAACTACGCTAATATTCCAATCCAGTTTCCCTCAATGTATCTTCCATATATATGTTGACTGAACAAAAAAGGGCTGCTTTAATGAATAGCCAAGAGCTGCTGTCACTTCACACTGCTGGGCTTTTATCCATTTGTTATTTTAAACTGTTATCCACTAGCCAGCATTTTTGCACATACTGCTGTGAAACTCCAGTAATTTACTTTCACCCTAGAACAGACTCTTGACAAATGATCATTTTGTATTTGATATTCTTAAAAAAAAAATACAATACATGAAACCCATTTCCTAGTAAGTAGAAAAATAAAAATTCCCAGCAGTCAGTAAGTTGATAGCTGTTTCAGATCTATATATCTATATATCTATATCTACGTCATCTACATATCTATATCTGACTGGGCAGATCCATCCAAGGTGCCTGGGGCGCCATCTTGTAGTGTGGTCTGGGATGAGTCGGTAACTCTTGAAGAAGTAGACAGGGTTTTCAGGGCTATTAGTTTGGCCATCTGTTTGTTAAACCCAGGTCCTCCTGTTTAGTTAAGGCAGCCAGGGAGGTGATTTACAGTTGGGTTCGTGCTGTAGTGGTAACCTCTTTGAGGGAGGGGGTGGTTCCTCAACCCTGGAAGGACGTGGTGTTATACCTCCTCAAGAGACTGTCCTTGGACCCAACACTTTTAGATAACTACCGTCATGTCTCCAAACTTACCTTGTTAGGGAAAATTATGGAGAACGTAGTCAGTCTGCAGTTGATGAGAACCTTGAGGAACTGAATTATCTAGACCCATTTAAGGCTGGAATTCAGTGCAGAGACAGCCTTGGTTACACTTGTAGATGACCTGTGATGGATCTGGGTTGGAGGTGGTGCATCCAGGCTTATGCTCCTTGATCTGTCTGTGGCTTTTGATACCATCAACCATGGTATCCTTCTGGATCAGCTCTCGGGGTTGGGAGTTGGTGACACCATTTTACAGTGCCTCTCCTGCATCCTTTGAGGAAAATTCCAGTCACTGTTGGCAGGGGGGAAAGGTCTCTCCCTAGGTCCAAACTTTGAGGTAATGCCATAGGGCTCAATCTCCTCTCCCCTCTTGTTCCGACATCTACATGAAACCACTGGGTGAGGTTCTGCACAGCAGGTCCAGCTTTAGGCTAAGGTCCAGTAGGCACTGGTCCAGGGCACCCACCCTTAGGATATGCCAGTGCTGCCCTTATTCCAAATAATTTTAAAAATGCAAATCTTCACATTGGCAGGAGGTGGCAACATCAGTCAATATGGCCTAGGGGTACCATATACCCTTGAGTTAGGACTAATGCACATGTTTGGGGTTTGGTATGAGAGAGAACTGGTCAAATCAATGAGAATCAGACATGATTGAACTGATGAATCATCATCATCATCATCAGTATGCTGATGGTACCCAATTATATCTTTCAACTGCAAGTGAGGCCGTTGAGGTTCTGTCCCAGTGCCTGGAGGCTGTGCAGGTTTGGATGGGGAGGAGCCATTTCTGACTGAATCCTACCTAGACCAAGTGGCTATGGATGCTAAGGCCACCTGGATCTGGAGTAGTTCATTTTTAACCTTGGACGAGGTTGCACTTCCCCACTGAATAGTGATGAGCAACCTTGGCTAGACTCCCATCTCCTGCTCAGGTGGCAGCTGTGGCCAGGAAGGCCTGTGTGCAGCTTCATCTGGTGTGCCAGTTGTACCCTTTCCTGGATCAGGAGGCTCTTCAGATAATCATTCATGCCCTAATCACCTCACAGCTTGCCTATTGTAATGCACTCTACATGGGGCTGCCCTTGAAGGCCACTTGAGAACTTGAACTGGTCCAGAATGCAGTAGCACAGGCACAGATGGACACTCAGCATGCCCATGTGACACCCCTGCTTCGTGAGTTGCATTGTTTGCCAGTTGGTTTCCAGGTAGGATTCAAGGGGCTGGTTAGGACCTATGGAGCCCTACATGGCATGGGTCCTAGTTATTTGAGGGACAGCTTGTCTCCCATGGTGCCTTCTCGGCCGAGAGGGTCACTGCACTCTGGGCTCCTTTGCTTAAACAGTGTCACCTATTGTGACCCAGAAGCACGCTTTCTTTGTCATGGCACCTGCCCTTTGGAACGAGCTTCCCCTACAATCCAGGTGGCTTCCACCATGCTGGCATTCTGGAGGGCCGAACAGCCTGCTTGTTCTCCCAGGAGCCGGAGAACCTCCTGGATGTCCTGCGTGGTCCACTGGATTCACCATCTGGTTCTTTTCTCTCTTGTCTGGTCTAACCCTTCTGTTGTGTGGTTTCATTTTTATTATATCATTTTTTATTCTGTTTATCATACTCTGACCTGGCCAGAATCACTCTGGAGCTGGGCAGCACCAAATCAAATTAGACAGACAGACAGACAAACCACTAAGGATTTAACCTCAGGCATGGTTTGGACACGAGGTGAGGGCAGCATCATTAAGGTGTGGTAAAAGGAAAAGGGGTCCTCAGGCGTGTTCAGGCCCTAGTAAGGGACAAATGGGTCTGTCCTCTAACTGTCCACAGTACCCTCCTTTGTGCCTATCCTGGTTTCTTTGAGTTTTTCTCTGTATTTGTACAAATACAGGTGTATTTTCACCTGGGACTCATTTGGTTTTAGTCAACTACAATTTCAAGTACTTTTCAAAAGTCCTATGACTAAGCAAGGTATATCTCCCATTACACGTGCCATTTGATTTTTTTCTCCTAAATGATGAACTCTGGATTTGTCTCTATTAAAATTCATTCCATGATTTTTATTCCACTTCAAGGAAATTTTTAATTTGTTCTGTCTTCTAGAGTATTGCTATCCCACCCAATTTTATGCCATCTGCAATTTGATTAGCATTCCCTCCACCTGCTCATCCAAGGCTTTAATAAAAATATTAAAGAATAGAAGGCCCAAGACTGAACCTTGTAAGACCTACTAGATACTATCCAGCTGAATGCAATTTTCAGACCAACTCAGTGTCTATTTAATTGCCATGGCAGCTAGCTCACCCTTAACTAGCTTACTAATCAGAACGTTATGGAGTACTTTGTCAAGCGATTTTGATAAAAACAAGATATGATATATTAAGGAAGTTACCAGATCAAACAGTCAGATAAAGTTGGTCTGGCAAGTCTTGTTCTTGATATGCATGCTCACTTCTTGTAATTACTGCATAGTTTTCAAGCTTCTTAAGATCCATCTCTTTATGATCTGCTCTACAATATTCCCAAGTATTGATTCAGATTGAATGGCCTGTAATTTGTGGATTTTCACTGTCCTACTTTTGAAAGACAGGGACAACATTTTTTCCTCCTCAGCCATCTGGCAGTTCTCCTGTTCTTCAAGATCTCTCAAACATAATACATAAAAGTTCAGTCATTCCACCAGCTAATTCCTTCCCTATCCTATGACACAATTCCATTTGGTCCTGGAAATTTAAACTCAGTTAAAGAATATAAGTATTCTCTGATTGTGTTTATTAATCAGACTGATTAAATTCATTATATACAATTCAATCCTGCCCCTTTATCACCCTTTTGAAAAACTTGCTCATTTCTTTACAACAAGAATGGCTGGAATCTGACCTCTATCAAGATTAATATTATCTACAAGCTCAATAATAAGGCTTACTTCCCACCTAAATCTTTTCTTCCAGAAGACTCTCCAATACCACCAACTACTTCATTTCCATCTTCCCACCTAACAATTATAACATCCTAAAGCCATCCACAATGACTTTGTCATTTCTTAAACCCTCTGAACCCTCTGAAACACATGTCTATGGGTCTGACTTCAGTTCTGTAGTTTTATTAACTTCTTACCTAACTTCCTTGGATTAAGCATCATAGAAATGGAGTCTGGAGTTTCTCCTTTAGTGAATTCCCATAATCACATGCAACAGATTGTGTGGCTAATTAGGACATTGGGATTGGAAGCTGAATACCTGTTTTCATCCCAGTGTTGCTGACCTGCTCAAAGCTACTAAGAGTCCTAGCAAAATCAGCCTTTATGCCTCCAGTTCCTCAATGGTTGGGTAATTTATAGCATGTGCACAGTAATGAGGGTACCTCTTAAACTCTCATCTATAACCAAACTCTATCACAGTGGAGGTTCACCCCGGTAGACCAGGGTTGATGGCAGAGGCAGGAAATTGTATTTCATCAGCACTCTTCCAATGTGTATCACAAAATACAAACTGTATATGAGACACTGCCAGCTATTTTTGGGAGAAGATTGTACAGATGGCGAACACTCTCCCTGATGCTTAATGTGACACATCCTGAGAGAAAGCAGTTTGTATAGCCAAGTAATAGGTAAACATGAAAAGGCATGCTTATTATTCTTCATGAATAATGACATATTTGGTTGACTTACATAGACATTCTGGGTAATTTTTTGTCCAGGTTGAATAAGACAACAAGGCAATGGATGCTTGATGTGGAAGAGTTGCTCTATATTAAAACAGATGATGAACTGAATGGGATTCAGAAACCGCAAAATAAGGCTCAGTGAATGGAGCTCCTTAAAGTCAGCCATGGAGTCAAAACATGAAGATGGGGGAACGTTCAGTTTACATCTCAACAAGAACAGCAGTCTCACAGATGATACTCCTTGACCTCTCCTTTTACTAAGTCGATGTCAAGCTTCACATCAGGGCAGGGTCATAAGTCTTGGCTTTGCAGATACTTTAACCCTCCTTTGTCTTCCTTAGCAATAGACTTTCAGATATGACTTCGATATACGTTTGTTTATTGCAGACATGAATGAAGCCACAGACAGAGAGGATCTGCCCACTATGGTACACAGAAATCAAAGCCTTTATGCAGGTCTCTGCTCCATGGTTTAAATTCTCATCTTTCCAAGTCAACAGATTCTTGGCTGCTCTCTTGATGGTCTTAAGAAACACCAATAAATTTTGACATAATGTCTCTCTCTCCAGTCTGGAAACTACTAGTTCCTGCTTTGCCAGTTTCATTCTTTATACTCAGCTTTGGGACAATGCCAGCAGTCTAGGGAATGGAAAGGTTTGGGGGAGGAAAGTACACTGCAATCCTTCCTACATAGACTGTCCCAAGTATTCGTGTTTGTTCCTCCAGCATCTGAGGAAATGCACAGTGCAGGCATCCAATAATGAGTACATAAATACAAGAAAGAACAGGTCAAGGTACTTGGCCAGAGAATTAAAGTGTCTTTATGCAGAGCAGGGCAACGGCACCCAGAATCGAAGCCTGCCCCTTTGAACATGCATGCAACATTGACACACATACAAAAAGGGCAGGGCTTGAAGTGTGCTGATGCAACCACCATTGTGCCTGTTTTGATCCCCTGCACCCCAGACACTGCTGGACTAGGGGAACAAGCAGGAAGAACTGGAAGTCACAATGCAGGAATGTGAGTTTAATTTAGTAGGCAACACTCAAACCTGGTAGGAAGAAAATGAATGTATGGATGAATGCAAGGACCGAAGGATATTGTCAGGCTTCTCCTCAGCAAACCAGACTGGAACAGATAAACAGATATTCAAGAATTTCCTATTTATTGTAGAAAAATTTAAAAGCCTTTATGAAAGAATTACAGCAATTATTGTGTATAAAATGTGACTTCTGTTTATACTGCAATCAGATTCATGGTCTGCTCTGTCTAAAAGGATAAAAGCAATTCTTTTTTGGGTAGGTTGGACTGCTCTTATCTGTTCCTTGTTCTGGTCAAAGCTGGATCTGGTACAAATCCACTTGCTTCTGACCATGGGAATACGGCTCCCACAGATACTACTTATTCAGAAGGAATACATCAGGGTAAAGGGCAGTGGGGGTGGGGAGGGGGAGAATTTGTCATTGCATGTGAAGTAAATGCACAGATGTGTAAAGATCTAGGAATCTGACTGTCAGAACCTGCATCACCCAACTGTTGTTGTTTTCCATTGTATTGCATTTGTTGG